TTGTTTGTATGCAAGCAAGCCAGAAAATCTCTCTTCTTTGATACCTGCAGAGCTATCATAATATCATCATTTCTGGCCGTCATCTTTAAAGAAGCTCAACTGACAATGTGCCATGGAAGATAGGAAAAAACTTGTTAACTCTTTTATGCAGAGAGGAAACTGAGACAGAGAGGAGGCTGAGCTTGACAAGAACGTTGGTGGTAGAAAACCAATTTGCACCCAAGTCTTCCAAGTGCCAGACTATCACCCGAACTAAGCTGCAGCAAATCTTCAGCTGTCACCTGAGCACATGAAATTTGGAGATTAAAATGCACATAAGGAAGCCCCAAAGCATGAAACAACAGCTATGAACTTTAGAGCAGATACAACATGCCTTTGTGTGAAGGCCATGAATGCATATATACAGATGTAGATATACATCCATAGAGTGTGCAAATGTTAAGGAACAACCTGATATAATCTTAAATTTAATCTCTTTTGAATTTGCAAATAGCCTACTTCCTCCTGTCCTATTTCTCCTCCATGATCCTAACCTCTTGTCTGATAAGCTCTCCTGAACCTGAGTTTCAGAATATCTGTGCAGCTACAGAAATGCATGTAAGTCTTCTTGTTAACAAGAAACGAAGCTGGAAGTTAAGTCAGTGCTAATTAAACTCATAATTACAAATGGAAGGTCAGACAGTAGATCCAAGGGCTGTTTGAAAATGTAATAAGACAAAGGAAAGAGCAAACTCGTGTGTAATAATTCAGCCCTTGCTCAGCAGACTGACCTATTAGGAGACTTCTCAGCTGAATACATTTCTGAAGGCAAGTATCAGAATAAAAATGCGAATCATTTGGGTTTCAACTAGTTTGTTAAGGATTAGTGCAGGTGCTAAACTTTAGATTTCTGTTTAAAAACAAACAGAAATTAAGAATTGCTCATTTGCAAAGTCAGAACATGGATCCCAGCTTCCTAAGGTGATCTCCAATGCTTTCTCTTTTGGAATGAGGTAACATCTTCTTGCTCCTCTGCTCACATAAGGTTAGATCTGCTTGATCATTCATTGTCCTGCCTGTGAACCTCCATAAACACAGAAATCCTGAGGTGACAACTATGTTGCCTTCATTCCCTTATTTTGAGGTTGGAGCAGAGAGGAGAGTGAGAGGTAATTAGGACAGAGGGCTCAGAGGAGCAGCATTAAGAGAGCAAAGAGGTGCAGAAGTACCAACCACCAGCAACTGGAAAACGGAGGACAGCTGAGGAAGGCTCACACTATTTTCTGCTATCCTCAGTCTCCAGATGGGCCAGAAGTTTTGATGTGGTTCTAAAACTCCACGTTCTGTCCCTTCCCACTGCTTTGTCACACAAGGACATGTGAGGAGCAAGGCAGCATGCACAGCCATGCCAGATCAGCAAGTCCATGCCTCTCCCCTTTATCATACTTGTGATTAAGCCCTTTAGGACTTGGGAAAATCCAAGGAGAAGGATATTTTTCATTTTCCAAGATAGGCATATTTCTTACGTGGGGGCTGGACACCCAGACAGCACAGCACTTGGGAAGCTATGTGGATTTAGAAAGTCTCTGTTAGGAAGCACAGAGACAGAGGCAGCATAGCAAAGCTGCCTTTCACCATGCCTCCTACTCTATGTATTTCACCTTTTTGAGAACCACAGGCAGTCCTTGAAACTCATGGCAGGGTAGAAAAGCCTTGTGAGACTTGCCAAGACCAATTTTAATAAAAAAATTATTCCTTTATCATCAAGCTTTCATCTGACATGCTAATCCTAAAAAAATCTGCCTTCCAACAGTTCAACTTTGCTTCAGTGAATGTCTCACCAAGCCCCTTCTAATAAATATCATTTATGATTTCTATGCCACCCTTGCTTTGCAGTGAAATTGTGGTGGTAATGATCACTGGGTTGATTGGCTCCTAGCTATTCCATCAAACATACTCCTATTCTGCTAGTCACAGACCACACATGCTAAATTTGAAGGTGAAACAACTTTTATGAAGCATTTTGGAGGAAGGTTGTGAAGACAATCAGTCTTGTACTGAAAATCCAGACTATATTACAGCTCCTGCAGCACCATACTCCTATTTTATCTCCTGCTGGCCATTTAGCAGCAGCAGTACAGAACACCAGAGGACTTCTCTCTGGAGGGAGAGCTCACAGCACACATTTCCTGAGAAGATATGGGGTTGGTTTCTTAACCAGGGAAGTACACACAGATGGATTTGGTGGTTCCCAGCTGGTGAGCACGTTTTCAGCTATCACTCATTGTGCCTCTTTGGGTGTGAAAAATGGTTTTCATGGAAGTATTCTTTTCTGGGCCTGTGAAAGATAAAATGCAGGCAAGCTGGGAGGCAAAAATAGACACTCAACATCACACAATGCTGAAGCCAAGTACCATTGGTGACTGAGACACCAGGCCACAATGCATTCAGGCAAGGCAGTAATTTACTTTCTCAGAAAAAATATTGTTCTAAATCTGATACAACATGATATGGTTCTCCTCAAGAGTGGGGACGTGAAAATGTCTTCATCATAGCTTAGAAATACATGAAAGCTCAACAGTTTCCTGAGAATCTTTTTCTTTACCTCATCTCCTGCCTCCTAAGGTACTTGCAGTTTTCCATGAGAGCAGCTAGTCCAGATCTCTCTCCCTCTCTCTCTCTCAGAGTAGCAGGATCATAGAATCATAGAATCATTTAGGTTGGAAGGGACCTCCAAGATCATCAAGTCCAACCCTTGAGCCATTAGGGCTCCAAAGTCCTCTGCCAAAACAGATCAGATCTCAGGGGGATTCTGCAAACTTTGTAAAAGAGCCACAGGCAAGCCCACACAAGCAAGTCCCTTAATTCTCTCAGTTATGTCAACCAGTGATCAAATTAGAAAGCTTTCTGACAACTACAGTTTCAGATCACCTCAGGAATTATTGTGGTTCCTAAGCCCAAGCATCTGGGACCACTTTAGACACCTCAGGGAATATGAATAATCCACATTGTGGCTCAAACACCTAACAGAGACCTCTGCCCTTATAGCTAGGTAGCTGGAGCACAGGCAGTGAACCTTATGGCAACTCAGATCCTCACCTTGCACAAGGGGATGTGATATCAGGAACCCAGAAAGTGTCAGGTCCCATTAGATAAGGAAAGGAATTTATGGTTCTCCAGCTGCCATCTCTAACAGCAGAAGGGCAAATAAATTCTTTCCACCACAAGATTCCTAGCAACGTCCTTCTTTCTAGCAAGAAGAGGAATCAAAATTCTTTGTAAACATTGTAATAGCTCAGCCTCAAAGTCCTTCTCTAATAATTCATAGCTCTGGTCTTAAAGCTCGCAGATTCCTCACTGCATTTCACCCTAACTTCTGTGCTCTGAACTTTGCTGAGTTTTGGGAGGTGCTCAGTAGATCAAACAGCCATTTTCTTCTGCCATGAAGGAACTAGAACTTCCAGAAATTTTTGAGAAGTTCATTATTCAGGCTTTCCAGATAACTATTTCTGTCTTGAGTTTCAAGAGCAATTTATTCATCGAATTTAACCTTATTTTAACCACTACAGCCAGGCCTCACAGGTACTCTGTGATAGTTTTATTCTATTCATTTTCTCGTGTTATTTCCAGAAATTGCTTGTGGTTCTTATTTCTGTTACTGTAATAACCTACTTATTTTGGCCAAACTAACAGAAAATTAATTTAAAAACAAAGCCTGCTACAGTTTTGCGCCGGTTTTATTATTTTATAACACTATTTCCATACAAAGTGTTCCATTACCTGCCAGGACACAACAGTGAGTCAAAAATCAGAAATACTATTAAATTTGTGCTTATGAGAAATGCACTTATTTATGTGCTCCTGTGCAGACACCACAGAGAAGGCAAAAGCAGCTTTTCTAAGTGCCAATGCCTCTGTTTCAGGACCCACACATCAACATTACAGTCCCAGTTTTCCCAGTGCAACCCCAAACGAGACTGGCAGAGCAACTTTGTCATTCCCTAGCACCTAAATTCCTTGGGGTCAGCATCTTCTAGCAGAACAGTCTGTGTCACATTGCCCAATCCTCCATTGCCATCAGTTCAAACATGAGACATCACATTGATCCTGTCAGCACTGACTCTGGAAGATCAATGGCCCTCCCAGTAATCCGTGACAGGGTGAGGGTGGAAATGTTTTGAGAGGAAAAAAAATGAAAATATACTTCAGCCTTTACAATTTCTGAAGAAAAACAAATTAAAACACACAAAAATTGCCACCAAACCATCAGTAGCTCTCAGGAGCTGCTCAGAGGCCTGGTTGATTGGAATATTCTCATTCGGTATGGATTAGGAGGCAAACAGCAGGGGAAAGAAGTCAAACATGCAAGATGTATTTGGTTTGTTACAGAAGCTGTAATTTATCATCACAATATTGCCAACACAACTGCAAGAGAATTATATATAAATTTAATAAAACAACTGCTACATTACATCTGTTATCCTGGAGTCAGGTTCGGTTCTATTTTACTCTTTGAGAAGAAGTTGTTTGCTGCAAACAATGCCACTGAATCTGGCCATTTATATTTTAGTCATTTATATTTTAAAAGACCACCTATATTACCTCGCATGCAAATAATACTATAAACAACAGTGTATATTGAAATATTGAGGCTACAAAATTACTCACTGAAGGGGAAAGTGAAATGTTATATCATTCCCTAGAGGTAGCAGTTACCTCTGATGTTCAACAAAGAAATACAGCTGAGGCAGTAAGTTAAGCTAAAGACATATAAACACAAAAGACCTCTCTTCTGGAAAAATACACACTTAAAGTGCCATTGTCCCCTCCATGCACCTGCCAAAACTGCTTGGAGGTTGTTGCAGTGAAGGTGAAGAGAGGGAGAGTGGAGAAAAGCAGCCACTGCAAATAAGCAGAGTATTTTCCAGAGAGTTATCTCCTGGCAAGAACGAGGGCTCAAACGGATAATCCCTTTCTGTGAAATCCAAGTTTCCAGTTTCATGTTAAGAAGAGGCTTTTACCTTATGGGATTATCCATCCTTGATACCGTGAGAAATGCTGCTAAGTTTGCTGTGTAGGAAGAGCACACGATGAGGGTGAAGAGCCACCAGCTTCCCATGACAATGCGCATCGCCACAGAATTGACAGTAGATTCACCCCCTACAAATCAACAGAGAAAAGCAGGGTCTCTCAGCAGCTTCCAGTTACAATCATACTCTGCATGACTTGTTACATCAAACTACTTCTCTGCATTTCTGCTTCCCCTCCAGACCACCCTTTCACTGGAAGAAAAGTGCTGCTTCTGGTAAGACTGATAATTTACAAACATTTTCTCCAATCAGCCTCTTGCCCTGGATACTGTTCTAAGAAAATCATCTTCCAAACTGTTTCCTTTGAGAATTATTGAGGATCAAATATACAGAACGTAGAAAAGATTCTAAATAAAGAAAGTTTCATACTATCACTGTAATTGGAGAGGACATTCCAAACTGTTTCCTTTGAGAATTATTGATCAAATATACAGAACATAGAAAAGAGTCTAAATAAAGTTAGTTTCATACTATCACTGTGATTGGAAAGGACATCCAGGATCATGAAGTCCAACCTTCCTCCCAACATTTCCCTAACCACTAGACCATAGCCTCAAGTGCCACATCCACTCGTTTTTTGAACCCCTCCAGGGATGATGACTCCCCCATCTCCCGGGGCAGCCCATTCCAGTGTCTAACCACTCTCTCAGTGAAGAAATTCTTTCTAATATCCAACCTAAACCTTCCCTGGCACAACTTGAGGCCATTTCCCCTCATCCTATCATCAGTAATTTGGCAGAAGAGACCAACGGCAGCCTCACTACAACCTCCTTTGAAGCAGTTGCAGAGAGCAATAAGGTCTCCTCTCAGCCTTCTCTTCTCTAGACTAAACAACCCCAGTTCCTTCATCCACTCCTCCCCAGCCTTGTTGCCCTTCTCTGGACCTACTCCTCAATGTCCTTCTCAAATTGTGGTGCCCAAAATTGGACACAGTACTCAAGGTGTGGTCTCACCAGTACCGAGTCCAGGGGCAGGATCATCTCCCTGCTCCTGCTGGTCACACCATTTCTGATCCAGGCCAGGATGCCCTTGGCCTTCTTGGCCACCTGGGCACACTGCTGGCTCATGTTCAGCCACCTGTCCCCCAACCCCCCCAGGTCATTTTCCCCCAGGCAGCCTTCCAGCCACTCCTCCCCAAGCCTGGAGGGTTGCCTGGGGTGGTGGTGACCCAAGTGCAAGACCCAGCACTTGGCCTTGTTAAACCTCATACAACAGCCCATCGTTCCAGCCTGTCCAGATCCCTCTCCAGTACGTTCCAGCCTGTCCAGATCCCTCTGCAGTATGACTAATAGGCAGGAATTAAATCACAGAATCAGAATTATTTAGATCAGAAAAGACCTTCAGGATCATCAAGTCTGACCATTAACCTAATTCTACGAAGTCCACTCCTAAACCACGTCCATAAGCACCATATCTACATAACTATTAAACACATCATTAGTGTTCAGTACATAGTAAAATTTTGTTTTCAATGACCATTGTAGATCTTGAAAAAACACACAAAACTGTCCAATGGTGTGTGCTGTATTTAAATCTGCAAAGAAGGAAGCATTAATGTCATTACTTATTACTCTTTACAACATTTCAAACAACATGAAGATTTCTTTCTAGCAGGCTTCAAGTACAGTTGAGCAATTGTTGGAGACCAAACCTTGTCATAGAGCTGGTGCTAAACCCTTCAGCATATGTTTATGCTGATTATATCTCACCATACAACAGGGATGTCACCCTAATGAGATGAGAGACCAAGTTTCATAGCAATAGCAAGGATTTTCCAGCTGAAGCTTTATAAGAACAACCCAAGCCTGGAGCGTTGCCTGGGGTTGTGGTGACCCAAGCACATTAATGGTAACATTACAGATATGGGACAAAAACTCTGTGGGCAAACTTTACAAACAATTATTTACAAAAGTAACTTTGTTATTGGTAGAAACTCTACTGAATTCAATAGGATTATTCCTCTGCCTATAGATGCCTGAGTGTCAAGTTAGTTACATGACTACAAATCAGTTTCCTATTCAAAGGATCAAAAGATAAACTGTCTCCCATCAGTTCAAAAACACCTAGAATTCTAAAGTGAAATTTAAACAGAAAAGGTGCTAGTTTCAAAGTTGGAGAACTGTCATAATTCCTCACCAAGCAGCTCTGTAGTTTATTTATCCTGTAATAATCTTCCCAAAGTGGAAAAGCTTGCTAGGAATCATAGAATCATAGAATCATAGAATCATAGGGGTTGGAAGGGACCTCAAAAGATCATCTAGTCCAACCCCCCTGCCAGAGCAGGACCACCTAGAGTACATAATGCTTTCTCTGGACTTGCTGAGACAGAAAAGCAGAACATAACCCATCCCAACCTCCTTTACCTCTTCCCAGTTTTCATCAGCTGGGCTAATAGATCATTTTACCTCCTCGTACAAGCCTTCTCCTTCAACTTTAGACTGCTCTGGCCAAGACTAACACCTCCTGACCTGCTGTACTCAAGGCAGAGACCATTTCTGAACATCCCTGAGGGGTAAAAGAGTCAGTACCTTGCTGGACAAAGGCGCCGTACACCACCCAGATGGCACTGTGGAGGGTGGAGGAAGCAGAAGGGCTCGGCTGGGAAGCGTTCTGCGCCCTGACTGCCTGGATGCGGTTCAAGACAAATATCAAAACACCAACTATAGGGATAGCTGCTGCAATGCAAGCCCACACAGCGAAGTCAAAGGGAGCAAAAAGAGAGAAGATGTTGATTTTCTCTTCAGGCTTTTTGATTAAGATCCCCACAGAGTAGTCCATGTAGCGCTTGCTGAAGTCCACCACGCTCTCGCGTTCCGGCGTTATGGTGATGGCTGAGATGGCGAGGTCTGCTCTCTGTGAGACAAACAACAGGTCAGGTTTCCTCCTTTCACCCTGAATTTGGCCAGTGGGAGCCTTGAGGGGAAGCTTTTTAAGAATCAGACCATGCATTTCTTTCTATACCTTAACACGTTTAAATAGTTGCCTAAAAAGTAAACCAGGAATCCGTGGCGTTATTTGAACGTTGATTCCTTGCACTCATCTAAACCAGAGGAGTGAAATATAGCCTGTCAATGAACAAAAAGTGTCACCCTGATTCCTCTCTGGAATGAGTGCAACTTGTTTGATCTTTATCCCTCAATTTTTTTTCCAAAGGATACCACAAACTCCAAACTTTATTGACCCAATGCACTGCAAGCAGTAAGAAAAAAACCCACCATTTATTACCTGGTCTATTTGACAGCAATGTGCAAAGAGCTGTTTGTTGTTCCTCCTGCTGAGTTGCCAACTTCCCACATTCATATGAAGACTGAGTGGGAGATTTTTATAATTTTTTACAATGAATAAAGCTATTGCAAAAACTAGTCACTGGGAGAATACATCAAAGGCAACATAGCTCCTGAAAATGCTTTGACCTCAACATTTAAAGCAAGAAGTTTTTACATGTAGAGGATCCTTAAAGAGTATGCAAACTCAATGAAATATATAGAAAAAAAGAATTAATAAATAAGAATCCCAAAGCCTTTGAAAAGTTGCAATTAGATTTTGAATATTTTCTCCATCTTTAAAACATTTCTCTTCAGAAAATAGAATGTACTTTTTGTTTCCTATCTCTACATCTCATTGGGAAAGTAAAGCAAATATTAGGTGAGGGAGATCTGCTTTGAAATCTTTTGGACTCGGTGGAAAAGCTAGGAGCAGAAATATTGCTTAAAAATGCCATAATAGATCCATTGATACATTTTCAAATAAATTAAATTCAAACAATTTATGTCGATGCAAAATAAGTAAAAAAAAAAATCCTTCTATATCCTAGCACCAACCAAGAATATCCCATTACCAGACACATATTTGCTGTTGCTTTAATTACTTCTGTTTCTTCCAAAACATCTACTTAGCAGATACTGAGCCACCTACTTAGTAGATAATGAGAAATCTTTAACTTTCAGTAATAACACCACTGCAGAGGAATAACCCTTTCTACAAAGGGCAGCAACATGGAATACTAATTCCTTTGAGTCTTGATTAACATTTGTCCCATGTCAGACAGCAAGAACATGAACAAAATACACTCTAAATTCATTCTCTGGGAGATACTAAGCTACAAACTTTCTCCATTTACTCCATGGAGTTCAATTAACTTACTCCTGATTTGCAAGACTGTAATTAAGTAAAGAAATTTGGTCCTCACGGTTTTAAATGAATTAATAATCTTGAGATCTATTTAAATGCTGGTCCTTCAAAACACTTCCTTATGTATAATACTAGGGACACATTTCCTGGTTTGGAGTCAAAACCTTGATCATTGTCAAACATATGAGACCCAAATAAAGTCACACCTACAAACAAGTAGCAAAGACATAATGATTAAAAATAAAATAACAGTAATTAATCTTTTAAGAAGGATACTTTCCTTCCCTATTTTCTATAGTTAATCACTCACACACACATACATGCCCTCTCCTTATTTTGGCAACTATCTAAACACAGAGATTTACACTGATACAATTTATGTTGAGAATGGTTGGGAGTAAACAGAACACCAGACTCTAATTTCTATCCTGTATAGACTGTCTTAAATTTCACAGTTTACACCCCACTCAAACCACCCATATCTCAGAAGTATTCTGCACTGGTGCTTTCATCCTAATTCATTTTCTTGTCGTTCAGAGTGGAGAAAAAGGAGAATTTAAACAATTGCCTCCACCCCCCTTCTGCCCCCCTTTTTTATTTTTTTTTAATGCAGCTTCTTCTCTGCATACCTTATTAATGAGTTCTCCAATCATGCCATTCCAGGAGCTGTTTTGGAGCTGCTGTCCATATTTGCCATCAGGAGCTTGATAGATCTCATACTTGAAGCCCAGATTCTTGGCAAGTGCATCCAGGACATCAATGGAGAATCCTTTATATCGTTTGGGTTGTCCAAGTATGTTTTCTGCCACCATCACAAAAGGTTCTTCCTGAGAACAAACCAATATTTTAACTGATACTCTAATTTTTTAAATTTTTTTAATTATTTTTCAATTATTATTATTTTTTTTAGTTGGTTTCTCTTCACAAAAGGATGTCTCCTGGGTTAACTTTTGGCAATTTAGCACAGATTTTGATTAACTTGTTAACTTGACATCTATCCATGGCCTTCAGTTTTACACAGTTCTTGAGGCAGAAACTCCAGAAGACAATTTAAGCCCCTTTAGCTGTCCACAGGATGAATTGTTCTCTGAAGTACCTGCCTCTTCTCACTGGCTACAAACAGGGCACACCCATCCAAGGGTCCCAACTAACTGTCTAGAATATAAATATTAAGCACATGAGTTCTAGATAGGAACATTGCCACTGTCCATCTCTCTCTGGTCATGCCAGATTTGGAAAGACATCTTTTACAGACGATGATCCTGGAGTCACACAGAAATGAGTGAAAAATGCTGTGTTTTGTAAATATTTAAAATTTTGATGATTCGAATAATAATCTTTATGGGTACTGGTTCCTGGACTATTTTGAACTCTTTTGGGACCAAGGAAATGCAGCATTTTGGGGTGTTTTCTGCTGGGCATAGACATCCTGTGCTCATATAGGAGTCGCCTTCACAACCTTGCACTGACATTTTCATGGAAGCAATCTGCTCACCTTCCACAGAAAGCTGCAGCATAACCTCACCTACCACCAGGCAGAGGAAAGAAACTGAGGGTGGAGAAGAGTCCTTTGTATCATGATTCAGAATAAAAGAAATAAAAAGCATAAAAAGCCACCAAGTTCTGCAATCTGCAAATGACAATACTTTAGGCAGAAAGGCATGCAAGCCCTAATTTGCCCCTAATTTAGCACTTACCTCACAGGAGCTCAGCCACCACTCGTGGTACTAACAGACAGTAGTTTGCTAGTCTATAAAGTGTAATGACTTTTTGGAAAGACTACACCTTTCTAAAACATACAGTTTACCTCAATGGGAATTTATGAGCTTGATGTAGGAAACACTTGATTAAATTTTACAGCCTGCAGTGTACAAGAGCCAAGATTAGATTATCATAATCGGCCCATCTTAAAATCCATGAAATGCTGCAAACTGGATATCTGAGTTAAAGTCTGGTCTCTGGAATGCTCCCCTGTACACTCAGGCTCTGTGCTGGTTCTATGCCCAGTAGGAATTACAGTGTAGAAAATTAACATAAGCAAACAAATGCTCTGTATCTCTGACAGTGCTCAGTTCACTTAAAATAATAAAAGGCCACGATCTCTCTTCCTTACTTATGTAACTGATCATCCAAAAATACAGAACTGACAATGGTAGGGAAAAATACTGCAGGAAGCATCTAAAATGATCATCTCCTTTTCATTCTGTGCATTTTGTTTCCTAAACTCAAACAGGATCATACCAAGACAGTCACCACTTTGAGTGTCAATCCTTGTAAGTCGTTGCCCAGACGTCGTTCTTGCAGGCTACCATTCAGGCCTTTCTCAGAGTCCCACGTTGCTAACTGGAACAGAAGGAACAGTGAGTATGATGACTGCTAGGCAGAAATCTTTCAGTATTTATATAAACATTTAACAGTAACTTCAACAAATCCAGAGCTGCTGTAGAGAGCGTGAGAGATGTGTGGCTTTTTTAATGCAGAATTAGTGAGATTCAAAGGATAGACATAAACAAGTACCTTGTCTGAATGTATTTTCACCAATGCCTGTACTATAACTGCTATTATATATAGTATCTGCTATATTATTTCACTTATATCACTCTGATATAATATTGCTCTCCAGTATGTTTAAATTTTCTGACAGTCCTCAGGATTATTGGTGGTCTCACTATCCCATATTTCCCTCTCTGTTCAGATCTCTATTTCCCTCCCTGTTCAGATCTCTATTTCCTCTCTCTGTTCAGATCTCTATTTCCCTCCCTGTTCAGATCTCTATTTCCCCTCTCTGTTCAGATCTCCTCCTACTTCTCAAATAATTCCCTACTGCTTAGCAAAGCCTGACCTTTTTTTCTTGCTGCACAACGTTCTTCCTCACTGATAGTCATAAATTCTTGACACAGATTCTGTGCTGTCAGACTGTCTCCTCTTGTCTCTTGGACTTTCTTCAGATGCTATCTTAAGTCCTGTTTTCTTTGTTCTTGCCCTGCTTCTACCTCATCAGTAAAATAATGACAGCCTCTCAAGTTCCCAGGCTCCTGATTGTCAAGTATCTCATATCCACTAGGACTTTATGCATCTGCTAGATATCCTGAGAACACACATTCAGGTACATCTCCCCATCTCCCTGGAACATTACACCTAAATAGTGTGTTTTTCAATTAAATGTATTGCCTTAAAAGTTAATTTTGCTGCATTTTCTGATGAGAAATGCAGCAAAAATCAATAGAATAGGTCCAATAGAAAAGTCAGTCTTAAGTGGCCTTTGGATTTTTCAAACTAAACGTGCTCTTTGACAGCAGCAGCAGTCAGGCACTCCTTTTGCCTTCAAACAATCCGTGGTGTCATTTTGTCCACAAGAGTCATAAATAGTATCAAGTAGAAACTGTTTTCTTTTTGTTTTCTTTTTTTTTTCCCCAGTTCTACTCTTAAACACCAATACTATGCTCACATACATGGAAGCAAGGTTGTTAGCTGAAGAAATTAAACACAGTTGAACTTGTGAAATGTGGCTTCTTCCTGCCAGGACCTAATTTCCATGTAACAAGTCAAAACCTTCTTGGAAAGAACTTATTTCACTGAAAATGCCTATAGCTAGTTGTCTTACATGATTTATTTCTGTGACTTCAATTTTATCCTAAAGCCTCAAAAATCAAACCAAGAAATAAAATGTGATTGGAGAGATCTGTATAATTTTGTTTTCGTTTTGTTGCACCAAACTGATAAACAGGGAACTAGAAAAGAACAGGACATTTGGTCAATATTCAGCTATCATAAGTATCACAACTGATGAAAATTCTTCCATAGTCACCAAATCTTGAAAGCTGAGGCATAGGAGAGGAAAGAATTAAGCTACACCTTCTTTTATCCTGATGACCTGGAGGATGGGGGAGGAGAATAACTGAAAAATATTCAGCTTTCTGATGACAATCCTGAAAGCTGAAGTGTCTCAGATTGAAAATTCTCCCCCTGTGATGCCAGTTTGGAGTGACAGATGAACTTCTGCATATAAGAGCATCTGCAGCAATACAAGTAGATACCTACAGCCATGGTATCTTTTCAATTTGAATTTAGATGCCTGCTCTGAAATATGTCCAGATGTTTCTTAGCTTTTGCTCCCTCCAAACCAAAGGGATGAATTTGTCATCTGAGATAAATCAGCACGGTTCAAAAGACTTCACAGACCAGTGTAGGTGTTTGTGGCATATACTGTGTTTCTGTAAAAAAGTCCACTGCAGAAGTCTTCTTCAGCTGTCCTATCCAGTAAGTATATGTTAAAGATATGTAGAATATTTGGGCCAAAATGGCTTGTACAATCTACATATGATGATTAAGCATTTATTAAAAAAATAGGAAGTGTAAGACATTTATTTATTACTTCACCACTGATGGACTGACATTTCAATTCCTTCTCCCACTCCTTTTCCTTTAAAAAAACTCTACTTGATTTCATACTAAGTCCTTAGACTTTTCAAATACCCTTCATTTCACTTCAGCTCTATAAATTCCAAAAACAGGAGATGTGATCTGTTTAGCAGAGGAATTTAAAGCCCTAATGGCTCAATGGTTGGACTTGATGATCTTGGAGGTCCCTTCCAACCTAAAGGATTCTATGATTAAAACCATAAATTTGTTTTATTCAAAAGGAGCAAGACAAAGATTCCTTTTTGATGCTCTAGGGGTAAGTGCAAGGAGGAGAAGTGTGTTTTACTTCAGCACAGAACTCCACAGTCTTCTCTATGTTGGCACAAACTTTTCAGTCTCTAAAAAACAAACTGTGTAGCTAAAGTTGATAAAATGGAACAGAAGGAAAACCATTTCCAGAAAGAACTTTTCCTGTGCATTCTTGTGCTTCAGAACTTTTAATTTGTTCAGAAGTGTGCCAATTTAACTACCCCTTCTTGCAGACAGAATTTTGTTTATAGAACTGATGTATTTAGAGATACGTCTATCAATTTGTGACAGCTGACCTGTCAAGATCAGTGCCTGGGAAACTAATTTCCAGCACTGTTAAACACAGTAAGTACTGCTGTTATTTGATAAGGCTGTTAGAGTTTCATTCTTTCTAGAAATATGTACCATGTTTCTACCAGAAGTCTGAAGCCAAAGGTTGTAGCACAGCCATCAGCTGATAGGAGATAAAGGGCTTTTAGATCTACTTATGACAAACAACTGCTTGCAGAATCAGCATTTGTTGGATGTATTAAAAAAATCTGTGGTCTTTGGAAGGTATATTTAATGGCAGTCTGGGTGAGGTTTTTTGTTTCTCAAGGTAATCAGTTATGGGAGTTCAACTTCTGAAAGGAGCCTCTTTATTAAAGCTTTTTGACTTAAACCTTCTTCCTAGCTTCTCTTTCTGAAATAATATTGTTGAGAATCCTGTTGTTCTAGCCATACATCAGAAGCTCAATTACTGAATAAGGGCAAACCAGAAGAAAAAAAAAATGTGAAATTCAGACAGAAAGGTAATTTTTGGAAAATTCTGACTCAGGACATGCCTCTGATCTTTCCCAACATTTCCAGCATCTCAAGCAAAGACAAGCTTGGAGAAAGTCACAATTTTAACTTTGTTTTCAACCTCCACAAGCAGTGTACAGCTCCAAACACACCTTCTCAACACAAGAGCATAACAATTACATGCCTAGACCAGCTAGGAATGTCAAGTGGTGAAGGACATCACCCAAAGCCTCTTGAACCTGCTGCTCAGGACCTTGCCCTGAAAGGTATTGATGACTGTCAGGACCTCTGAAGAAAACTTGATGTCAGTGTAACTTTAGGGTTTCTGGGTTCCCATCAATAAATTAGAAGTCAAATTCTACAAAGCAGCTTCATGACTTTGTTAATGTTGCAGCTGCTGGGTGCCCAACACTTACTTGAGTGATTAGTCCCCCAAGGGAAATCATGTTGAGATGTCATGGTAAACTCCCACCAGTGAATACCAGAAACAACCCCACGAAAGTGTGAAGACCTTCAATCAGCACAATGAGGCAAACAATCCTTCTGCTCAAATAAATCAACGCTGCATGCATTAAACACTAATTTGCAAGATTTACTACCTCCTGTGAACTTGATCAGCTAGACTGAGAGCCTGCATGTTGCTTCCTGAGGATAAACTCATGCAGTTGTTACACCTCTCTCTGCAAAGTCTCTGTGTTCATGCTACTTGATTACAGAATAATCACATATCCCTTGAATCAGGAACTCAGATTTAATTTTTCTAACTCTGCTGTGTATGTTCCCACCACTGGACTATGGCTAAAGTCAGGCCCAAACAAATGGAGATGAAGATTATCCCAAACTACTAGTAAATACAGTTGAAAACTGACATTTTAAGGGCTACAATCAATCCAGAGCATGCATCTTTTATCTTACCAAAACCTGAAAACTTTTATGTGGTGACTCCTTTGGAGCTAAGGTTACATTATCCAAATAAATCAACTTTGGGAATTCTTGCCTCGAAACCTGAAAAAACTTCTAACAAACATGAAACTGAAGAAAGTACAAGGCAGGCAGTTCTCATGCCATGAAAAAAGAGACACCTGTATCAGCCCAGAGCACATTTTCTGAGCGTGAAGACTGTTCTGTGTGTGGAATTAAATAAATTTGTGCTACTCACCATCTGTCAATGCTATCAGATTAACATTGAACTGAACTGGATTTCCCTTCAGTTACCACTTATAGAATCACAGAATCCTTTAGGTTGGAAGGGACCTTCAAGATCATCAAGTCTTCTTAAACTTGAAGTCAATATAGCATATATCAGATATGATGTCCTTGTACTGTATATTTTGCATGTTGGGGGCTCACTACCTTTGCCACTCTTCCAATATGGCTAAATATTTACTGAAACATTTAACAGCATAAAAGCAGATTTTAAGTGAAGATGATAATAAAAAAAACCCCAAACCTCAAAATGTATAATAAGAAAATTAACATTTACAGGAGACAAAAATGAACTAATCCAGTGGCCCATGAAAAAAAATAATCAAATTTGCCACTCCTCTGTTGCAGTTCTAAAGAATAAAATTAATTCCATTTAAATAGTAAGTAAAACAAACATAATTACATTTAAGTCCATGATTCTTTTTAAAATGCAGTATATCAGTAATCTAAAGAATATGCTGTCACTCAATATCATTCACAACAAGGTATTAGTAGGACTCATTTGATTACATATCATTTTTAGGAACCAACAGGATTCCCTGAAACATCATTTCCATTTTTATAACTGCAGTTGCCTTGAAGGTACCAAAATCTTTTCACATGAAATATGGGATCATAATTAAGAAAAATTTAAAAACCAGCTTGGATTTTGTATCTGTACAATCAATAGTTCCATAAAACAG